AGTGCATCTTCTTTTCTCTAACTTTCAATATGGGATAAACATCCTACTTGAAAATACTTTCTTCACTATACTTAACTTATTATCTATTCATGTCATGTTTTTCCAACATAATCCATTGAAATCATCATGTAACATACAAACCTTAGATGAGAATTAAACTTAGAATTGAAAGATCATAGACTTACATACCTCAATTAGCAAAATAGAGACCGAAATGCAAGTTTAAAGAAAATCAAGGACTAAGCATACGACAAAGGTAATGTAACAACAAAGAAGCCTAAAGATGTGTGGGTGAGCGAGTCCTTTACCTTACTTGTGAATCCGGTGATGAAATGATGTTGCTTTGTTGACATTGGCTATGTCTCGATGCCTCATCATGGTGGCCGGATGTGTGTTTCAAAAGAGACGGTGACAATAAGCAATGGTTCCGCATTCTTTTTTATCTTTTTCTCTCTCGCTTATTATTATTATTATTATTATTATTATTATTTTGCTTAGTTTCTTTTTTTATTATTAGGGTTTTTTTTTTTGTCCGTCTATAAGGGTGTAAGTGGTTAGGTAGTACATTTATAATGTGTGTAGGTCGATCATGTTAGGGTTTCCTCTTTTGAACTTTCTAAAAAGGGCTACAGATCGAAGCCGAAAGTACTTGGGCCGGATATACGACCTAATAAGCACCTAGGCTATCCAAGCAAACCTTTTTTTTTTTATTATTTTTTATGATTTTTTATTTTTGAGAAAAAGTAGAGTGATGACAATAGTCCTTTCTTTGCAATGCTTATATGACAAGCATATAGGAAGACAAGTTTTTCGACATCTTAGCTTAGTAAGCTTGTAAAGAAAATATGTGACTATAAAAAAAATTGTCATCTTGGCATGGTAATTGTATGTGACACTACTACAAAGAATGGTCATCTTGCCATGATGATCACATGTGCTACTAGAGGATAGATTAGTCATCTTGACAGGATAACTACCTATGACACCATCTCTCGAAGGATTAGTCATTTTGACGTAACGATCACTTATGAAACTAGATTTGTGAAGAAAAGAATCAATCGAAAAGCCTTAACCCTAAAAGCCAAAACGTTTTTCAATAAAAGTAACCCTAGCCTTAGTAAATTTATAAAAGGTTGAAAACCCCGTTGCAACTCAAGTTGATAAAGATCAAAATCATCACATTGGTAGATCAATCTAAGGATAAAGAAATACAAAACTATAAAGTAATAACAAGGGCTAACACAAGTTGAGAGAAAATTATTAAGAAATTCAATTAAGTAATAATAATGTTTGCTATAAAAGAAACACACAAAATTAAAAAGGCTTATATATGCCTAAGTGTTGACTAACCCTAAACAAATACGAAATTTTTTCTAATTCGGAAAAGAAATTAAAATAAACTTAAAAATCCTTATAGAAAACTACAAAATAACTCAATTTAAGAAAAAAATAAAAAATAAAATTAATAATAAAAAATCCAAAGACAATCTCATGTCAATTTATGATATTGTTTCGCAAAGATAGTCATCTTGACAAGTGACCACTTGTGTAGTGTTGAAGACCGGTCATCATGATAGGAAGATCACCAATGATATTTTTGAAAATTGATCATCTTAATAAGGTGATCACCTATGACATTGTTTTGGAAAGATTAGTCATATTGACAAGGGTGACCACCTGTTCCATCTTTGAAAACTCGCTTGTGATAAATCGCCTTCAAAATGAGGAAAGTTTGCCCTTTATATTATTGAAGACCGATCATTTTGACATGGTGACCATTTGTAATATAGATCATCTTGATAGGATGACCATTTATGCTACCTTTAAAGCTTGGTTCGTGATGAATCACCTTAAAAATGGGAAAAGTTTGCCCATTCCCATGCTTCGAGTCCACTTCATCTACGGTAGTGATAAACTTTTGATTTCTTTGATAGTATTACCTATATAAGAAATATAGGTTAAACCTTTTAAAGATCAACTTTTCATCTTGAATTTAGAAAACCTATGCGAGATCTTATGGTTTCCAATCTCGACTACTAGTTTGTTCGAGATTTATTAAGAGATGCTAGATTGACTATATGTCATTCTCTAATATTGAGCTTACTATTATTTTACTATTGAATCATCTTCATATCTCTTTGCTAACTATTGAATCTATGACTTGATTGATCATGTGGCTCCATTAAGTATTGACATCCGTTGAACTTGTCCTTGTATTGCTTACCTTAATTCATGTCTTGTTTGTTGAAATTAATACACTCCCATCAATTTAGTTTCTGTTTATCATTAAGGATTACATTATATAGTATTATCATCATAACCCTTATTTAGTTAATGTGCCACAAATCTAATTATTTTTATGTTGCCCACGAGTTTCTAAGTCACTATAACAAAATGAATATTTGTCCTTATGAGAAAATTTTGATTGCCTTGTTTTTATTATAGTATACTCCATTCCTACTTTCGACTTTAGTGAGATTATAACCTTGCCCTTACATTTTCTTCAAATCTTTCCGACTTTTGCTAAGTAATCATCATATTGCATTTCTTTTAATAAGAAGAAGGAGAAAGAAAAAGAAATTGCATATCAAGCCTCTAAAAACTATTATAACATTTCATTGCATGATATGTTGGCTACGTGTTAGTATTAATTAAACCATCCTAGTATATGAACACGCTATAACCTAGAAATGGTTTATTTGAATAACACGATCACCTTTTTATGTTGGAAATTTTTTCTTAAAGTTATGTCAAAGCATGGGATTTTGGGGAGCCAAATAAAGAGAAAGAAAATTGAAACACTCATATTAAAAATTATTTTGCACACATCTCAATTGATTTCATTACTTTTGAATGAAAAACGATACCTTATTAAGCATATTACTTCTTCACTAAATCATAATCCATTGGTTTCGAAAAATCATCTCCACCATGCTTGTCAAAATAAAAGCTCTCTTAAAAATACCTTCCACGTATAAACCCTCATAGTTAGACAATCATTTAGCCCTCATCTTTTTTGAAAGGGGTATGATCTTTTTTAACACAAAGCCACCCATTTGAAACTTCCCATGATGTATTTTCTTGTCATAAGCCTTGACTATTGTTTTATTATAGAGCTATCGTGGCAAATTGTTGCCAATCTTTTCTTACTAATCAAATTCAATTGCTCATATCGAAATTTAGCACATTCCGACTCTATCAACTCTACCTTTGTCAAGACTCTAAAGGAATGAATTTATAACTTCAATGGTAACACCGCCTCCAATCCATATACCAAAAAGTAGACAATTGCCCTAGTTAATATTCTAACTATAATTCGATAAGCATAAAGTTTATATGAAAGCATCTTGTGACAATCTTAATTTACAGGTAACCACCATCTTCTATACAATCTTTTATATGCTTTTGTTTGTCATTTTTACTATCCCATTCATCTTAGACGGATGTAGGGAAGAATCAAATGTTTAATCTTTCACTCGTTCACAAGTTGATGATCATCTTGCCATTAAAATTTTGGATATTATTGGCGATGATGGTAGATAAGGTGTCGTATCTAGAAATGATGTCTTTCTCCATAAAACAACGAATAACCCATTGAGTGACATTAGCATAAGATGTCGCCTCTACTCATATTGTGAAACAATTGATGGCCATTAAGATGAAACGTTGATCATTACTAACTTTCAAATTGATAAGCCACTTATATCCATTCCCCGAGTTGCAAATGACCATTGAGATATAAATAGAAAAATAAAAAATTCTCTTTGGAAGAAGTGAGTAGTTTGAATACAAAATTGATATTATCCCAATAGTTTGAGTTCATATTTTATTATATTATACTCTTTCTATTTTAAAGATATTATCATCTTTGACTTTTCATACCGATTAAGAAAATTTACTAATTATTATGCCATATTAGTATTTTTTTTCATATTTTTTTATTTTTATTTTTAGAATTGTTAGTCATCAAGTTTAATACGTATGATACGGAACCATTATTAGTTAGTTTTGTAAGGTTAATTATGGCTCACGTGATACATATATTAAAATATATCCGATTACTTAAGAATATGTATTAATAATGATACATGTAATTAATGATTATACATGTATCTAATTAATTATGGTACGTCTATTGATTATTATATATGCATATTTAAAGTGTATTTAATTAATTAAGATACATATATTGATTTGATATATATAATTAATGATGATACATGTACCTAATTAGTTATGATATATGTATTTAATTAATTATGGTACATGTATAAGTTTTAAATGAGAAACTTGAGTTAAGACTATAAAAAATAGATTATAGTCTTTTCTCATAGAACCATGAAAAAAAGTAACGAAATTAAAGAAACCTAAATGATATCAATGTCTATCATTGAAAAAAAAAAAAAAAGATAGATACCATTTTTGTCTATTGCCTACCTTTCAATATTGATTCAAAGGTCTAAATATGAATTAAGATATGTTTTTTTTTTTTAAATTATGTAGAAAACATGAAGCTCTAAATTATAAGTGTGATTAATTTTATATCTTATCGTGCTGCATAATTATAATTATTGATTATAGTTTATATATTTAAAATAGTGCACTTTTTAAAGGTTTGACCCTGTCAATATTTTAGAATAAATATAAATAGAAAAGTAGGAGATGGGTACTTTAAAAAGTATTATCATTGCTGTTAATGCAAGAAAGGATTCCCCTCTAACCGCTAGAAATAGAATAATTAATAGCAGGACAATGTCTTACATCTAGCTAGTATTAGGTAAATTTACCCGAGAAAGCAACAATTACACTTGTTTATTATTTCAAAAAACTTATTCATGATTGGATCGTTTTTTTGCCTTTTTCAAAATGAAATTGACATTGCAGCTACCTGGTACGTCATCATCATTTTTAAAGATCAAGTGATCTCTTTCACAGTACTAGGATGCACAGTGTTTCATTTTCAACACAGACTCTCCCTCTCCCAAGAAACGAAGAGAGAAATGGATAGCCCCTCAGAACATAGACAGATGATCACAGAACCACTCTTGGGTAACCGAAAGGGTGGCATCAGAACCTTACCTTTCATCGTAGGTATAACCTGTACACATTCATATTGATTTGTCTAATGTTGTGATTCTTTTTTCTCGTATCTGTGATATATTTTTCAATATTCCGACAGCAAATGAGGCATTTGAGAGTCTGGCAAATTACGGCCTATTTCCAAACCTGATACTGTATTTGACAAGAGAGTATGGCATCGACGCTGCAAATGGGGCACAGATATTGTTCCTTTTGTCTTCTGCCACAAATTTCACGCCAATTCTCGGAGCTTTTCTTGCTGATACTTATGTGGGTCGGTATTCCATGATCGGTTTTGGATGTATTGCTTCCCTTCTGGTAATATTCCTCCTCAACTTCGCACCTCTTCTCAGTAATTCCGTTTCTCCTCTGCTTTCTTTTTCCATTTGCTTTCTGTTTCTTTCTAAGGTCTGTGTTTTTTCTCTCTTTTTGAAATTATGGCTGCTTGAAGCCGGAGCTGTAAACAAATCACAAATGGAAATTCAGTAAAAAATATCAAGCAAATTAGATGTCATGTCATCCGTAGCCGTCCTGCCAAATAATTTAGCCCAACCCTTGATATTTTTTAGCTATCCTTTGGCATTGTATGAGCCAACGCCTGATATATCCTATCTATCCTAATGTATCCAATTATTGTTTCCTCATTTTTCAAAATAGTACTATATGGTAGGACCAAGTTTTCTGTTTTAGCTATAATGTGTGAAGTTGAATTCACATGCAATGTTTTATTTTTTTATCTTTTACTTGCAAGTTCCATCATTCGTTGTAACCCCAGAATGGAAGAGGGGAGAAAATGGTTGAGTTGATAAAAATCAAATTAAGTTTGTTAGCTTATTCTTATCCCTTTATATATATATATTTTGGATTCCATTGTTTTTTCTTTGTTCATTCTCTATAGAAGGGATTTTTTTTTATGTTTAGATTTTACGTTTAATCCTCGTTAATTCTCTATAGATCAGCATTGGTTTTCTGTATCTTTAAACGGTCCAATATCAGTTATCCTTCATTTATTTGTTCTTTCCATCCTCCGGATAACCGGAATTTCCATTGAAACTTCAGTCCATCCTTCCGATATTGGTACAAGACGTTTGGATTTATTTATTTATTGCTAATAAGTATAATCCAATTTGAGTTTAACAAGGAGGACGAGAATTGGAGCATGCTCCGCAGCTTATTGACTTAGAATTAAGTTTGTAAGGCTCTCTTGGGTCCTAAAGAAATACCAAAATAAAAACAGAATAAGCAATCACTTCAATTTTCATGGTACAGGGGATGGTTCTATTGTGGCTAACAACTTTTCCTGAAGCAAGGCCACCTCCTTGTGTCGAATTTAGTGACAGTTGCCAACCCGCAACGACATTACAGCTTTTGCTGTTATATACAGCTTTTGGCTTCATGGCCATTGGAGCTGGTGGCATAAGATCATCTTCCTTAGCCTTTGGTGCTGATCAATTAGGCAAGAGAAACAGCCTTAAACATGCTAGAATACGAGAGAGCTTCTTTAGTTGGTACTATGGTATAGTCTCAGCTTCGGTATTTCTTGGCATGACTTGTGTTGTATACATTCAAGATACCATGGGGTGGATGGTGGGTTTTGGAGTTCCGGTGGTGCTCATGATCCTGTCAGCTCTTTCATTCTTCTCGGCTACTCCCTTGTATGTCCAGTCAAAGCCTAAAGCAAGCTGGATCACTGGGTTGGCGCAAGTTGTTGTGGCTTCCTTTAGAAATAGAAGTATTAAATTACCATCCCAAGCAACGGATGAGGTGTACTATCATACAAAGGGATCAATGCTTCTTGTGCCGAGCGAAAAATTGAGGTATCATCTTTGTACAGATTTAGACTTCGTGTACTTTTTGTTTATTGGATTGCTTTAGTTTCTCTTCTTCTGGCATTTCTTAAAGTTAGGCAAAGAATTAAAATCATCAGTTTGCGATACTAGTGGAGTTTTAATATTTATCTGTTTCAACATATTTTATTGTAACTGCTATTTTTTTTCCTCTACCCTGTGTTAGGGTTTTAAATAAAGCTTGCATTATCAGAAATCCTCAAGAAAACTTGGCTCCAGATGGAAAAGCTTCAGATCCGTGGAGTCTTTGTACAATCGATCAAGTAGAAGATCTAAAAGCACTAATCAAGGTAATCCCAATATGGTTAGCAGGAATGTTGAAGTCTGTGAACGTAAGCCAAAGCTCTTTTATAGTACTCCAGGCATCCACCATGGACCGACACATTACTTCAAATTTTGAAATTCCTGCTGGCAGTTTCCCGTCAATTGTGGTTCTCGTTATCACAACATGGGTTGCTCTCTATGATCGCGTAATTATTCCTTTTGCATCGAAAGTCAAGGGAAAACTAGTTCGCCTCAAATTGAAGCAAAGAATGGGATTTGGTATTCTATTATCCACTATTTCCATGGCAGCATTAGCAGTTACTGAGAGTGTTCGGCGGGAAGCTGCAATCAAGGAAGGATTTTCAGACAATCGTAATCCTGGATTGCACATTTCAGCAATGTGGTTGTTGCCATTTCTTGTTCTGAGTGGATTAGCTGAGGCTTTCAATGCTATTGCACAGAACGAATTCTTTTACACTGAGTTGCCTAAAAGCATGTCCAGTGTGGCCTCCACGCTTCAGGGTATAGGATTGTCTGCTGCAAGTTTGGTATCTAGTTTTATTGTTAGTGCTGTTCGTAATTTCACAAAAGGAGAAGACCAGGAGAGTTGGGTACCGAGCAGCATCAATAAAGGGCATTATGATTACTATTATTGGCTTCTTACAATTTTGAGCTTGGTTAACTTCATATATTATCTTGTTTGTAGCAAATCCTATGGTCCCTGCAAGGATGAGGAAGGGAGCATTGTCGCAGATGAAGGGTTTGACAGATGACATATTTTGGTTACAGTTCAATAATTCTTAATCAGAACTTCAGCATACATAATCTCTTTATTTATATATACATGACGGAAACATTGTAATAACAGCAAGATCGTATATAATTTTTAAAGCATATTTATACATACTAGCTTCTTTAGATACGTTAGTCTTAAGAACTTAGAGACAGTTCACCTGAATAGATTCTTCATTAATTGTTCAGGAGGGTCTTTTGCGTTTTTATTGTACTAACCTGGCAAACTTCATCAGGTAATTGAAACACTTATCTGACTATATTCGTAGTGTTTCAGTCAATTTGATAAAACAGACCCATTTCGTCTTGCTTAGATCTTAGAACATGCTAAGCTGCAAATGGGCAGCGCTACTGTTGGCTTAGATTATCAGCTTAGATGTGGATTCTTGCGGTGGAAGCTGCGCTTATATTGGTGTTTGTGGACACATAGGATAGGATAAAAACTAGATCTCCTATTCTTCTTGCTTATAGTTTCTTTTCCTCTCATGCAATTGATTAGATTTCTTGGTAGTTCATTATTATACTTTGCCACAATCGTTTTGGTATTTGGAAGAAAGGATGCCCTTCCAACTAGTAGGATGATGAATAACAAGATTGTTAGAAGAAGAAGAAGAAGAAGAAGAAGAAGAAGAAGAAGAAGAAGAAGAAGAAGAAAGAACGAAAGAAAGAACAATCACAAAACATGAACATTTTACGTGATTCGACAATGGTGCCTCCTACACGGGAGATATTGTAATTTCTTATTAGGTTTTGTCAAGTGACGGCTTTAAATACAAGTGATGTTGTCTCATTTATAATGTGAAAAACTAGGGTTTTTTTTTTTTTTTTTAAAAAAAAAACTAACTAGCCTACACACCAAGTCCAATATTCTATAGACCTTTTGGGAGCTCCACCCCCGAGTCCTCGTAAGAAGTGCTGCCCCTTGACTCCCACTCGCTAACCAACTAGCGAGGCCATTGTGCTAGATTTGTATAATGTCTTATACTCGCGATTTCCATCAATATCGGTCTCTATAAGTTAACAATCTCCCACTTGGAGACTAATCTCAAATAACACCAAACCTCTTATAACTCGTTCGTTTTTCTCAACTAATTTCAAGTCTTCCTAATGCGATGCCTTTTTATCACTAATCATGAAGGCCAACCGAGGTAATACAAAGTCTCAACTTATTAATGGTAACTACCTTAGTCAACATATCGGTTGGATTCTCAAATCCTAAAATCTTGTTCGAATATATTAGCCTATCATCCAATAACTTTTAGATATAGTGATACTTCAACCGAATATGTTTGGTTCTTGCATGAAAGACTCGGATTTTTAGAAAGATGAATTGCACTCGATTGTCCCTAAAAATAGATTTTGTCTAAGACTTGAAAGATGTCTAACATTCTACGGTTTCCATTGTATTCCATTGGTGGTTCTAATACTAACCTCACTTTTTCTCCATAATGTTCAAAGGTTCATCTTGTCCTAAAATTTCCCGTAATGCATTTCTATAAGAAATCTTTACATAGAGTATAATGAAATGGCGCACCCGAGTCTAAAATCCTACACTCAATGAGATTGTCTACACAGCAAATTAATGCATCCGTAATTTTATCAATCGTTGCATATGCAAAGTCGTCATCCTAATTCTTCTTCTTCTTTCAAGCCTTATATTAATTTTTAAAGTGCCTCTTATTTTCATAGTTCTAGCAGGTGATTTTTTATGGTTTGTGGATTTTCCTCTACCCTTTGATTTTGACCTCTTATGACCATGATTTTGATCCCACTAAAAGTCTCTTGCTCTATTATTAGTACTTAAATCAAATTCTAAAGGTTTTCCTTACTCACTCTTGCGAAGATCTTTATTGACCATTAAATCTTGGATATCATCCAATTTCGGTTTTCATTCTTTGATGAACTCGCTTATTCGTCGTTTCCATGCCGGACCAGCTATGAAAAAGAAAACAATAGCAAAATCACTATCTTAAATTCATCATCAAACACAATGCTTATCGATTCGAATTGACTAATCAACATATTAATTTTATTAATGTGACTAGTCACGTACGCACCCTCTGCCATCTTTAGATTGAATAACAATGTATAAAACATATCTTGTTTGAGATAGATGGCTTCTCATATATATATATATATATATATATATATATATATAACAATGACATCATCGGATATGTTATGGTCTTTTCTTTCACGATGTTGAAAATAACATTACTTGTCAATGTTAGTCGAATAACATTCAAAGCTTGGCGATCTAACACAATCTAATCGGCATCTTTCATTGCCTCCGGCTTCTTTCATGATAGGGGTTAATATAGCTTCTTTTGGTAAAAATAGTTTTCAATCCGTATCCGTTAGAAACCAAAATCTTTTCCATCAAACTTATCAATCCTCACTTTTTTTCCCATCTTTCCTCTTTACCCCGTTAACTTAGAGTTCCGATACCAGTTATTAGAAAATGGATCAAGCAAAAGAATAGAGTAGAACAGAAAAAGAACAATCATATAAAAATTTTACATGATTCGACAATGGTACCTACTCCATGACCGCACTAAAATTTCTTATTAGGTTTTGTTAAGTGTTGGCTTAAAATACAACCGATGTTATCTCTATTTATAGTGTGGACAACTAGGGTTACAAGAAAAAATGACATGATGGGCCCGTACATGTGATTCAATATTCTATAGACCTTTCGAGGGCTCGCCTTTGAGCCCTCTCGGTAATCGACTAATAAGATCGTTGTGCTAGTTCTATATAATGCCATATACTATGCATCTTCATCAATATCGGTGTCCATAACTTAATAAGGACTAATATATCATGTATTGAGTGTTGTTTATTATATTAAGGTAAGAACAATATGTGAAGTATAGTGCATTATTATACTTTACCACAATCATGACAAATGTGTCATGTATCGAGTGTTGTTTATTATATTAAGGTAAGATCAAATCTGTCAAGGGCGATGCAGTATTATACTTCACCATAATCATGATGAATATGTCATGTACGGAGTCCTATATCTCTTGGAGTATAGGCCAACGATGAGTTATTTGTGTTTAGAATTTAATCTCATTTTTTATAAATTACACTTTAAAAAAAAAATTTAAGTTAGATACACACAATAATAAGAGAAAAAAATAAATTAATCACAAGACTACAATTCACAAGAATACCAAATTTACATGAAAAACATTTTCTATCATAGAGGAAAAAATTACGAGACTAAGTCTGAAATAATTTACTATAATTAAGAAAGCAATATAACCACTCAAGTTTTTATGTGCACTTGAGAAGCAAAAATATTGATCGTAAATAAATTACCTCTTTAGTTAAATTTCTCTTGCCTCAAAACTTAGAATTTGTGAAATCTCTCGTGTTTCGTAATGCCTAGTATTGTATGAGATCACCACCTTGAACACTCGTAATTCTTTATGATTGTAGTATATAAAAATCAATGTTAGAAAAAAAATCTAATATTTTATGCATTAAAATCCTTCCTTTCTTCAAAAAGAAAAAAAATCCATTGTTATCCCTTGCTTTCTTTTCTTTTCTCTTCAATTACCCTTTAGAAACTTTGATTAAGAGAAAGACCAAATATTTCTTTATGTATACACACAAGTTGGTTAAACAAGAAAAAAAAAAAAGAGACGAAACTTTTCCTTTCTAGTTGAACCTACATGGTCTATTCTTTTAGGTAGTTTTTCACCTATTTAATTTTTCACCTACAAAGCTACTTGTTTGGAGTTGTTATGGACAATTTTAAGTATGATGTGATTAAAATTATTAATCATAGTATCTACTTCTTTTTGGATTATAGTATCTAGGTGATTACCTACATCTATAAAGGTTTGATTTAAACCATTATGAGCATGCTTCTCTAAGGCTTGGAATGTGTCCAAATCATGTTTAATTTCTACCATAGCATTTTTTCTTCCTTTAATTTATACTCTTGATGAGTGCATAATTAATATAATTTTTATGCTCTTTTACATTGAACTTTCTAGTTATATTGAATCATATTTAGTTAATTAAGATCAAGATAACGATTCCGAGTTTTGTAAGAAAAAATAGTAAATTTAAGCAAAGAAACCCAAACCAAAGTAAGGAGAAACAAAAGTCACCTAGAAAGATTAAGAGTCATATAACCGTGCACCTTACAAAGAAAAAAGCCACTCGGCTAAGTGAAATAAAGTAAGAAATCGTGTGGATTGTTCGAGTAACAAAGCCATACGAGCGGTAGCTTTCCACACTACCGGAGCAAGAGAAGCAACACATTCGTATATGTGTCAAGATTAAATTGTTTTCCAAAAGGAAAGAGGTATCACATTGGCGGTAACCATTTCACATGAAATGCATTGAAGAAAAGACACGTTAGTATGTGTCATAGAAAGAAGAATGAAGCAACCAAGGCATACGAGCAGAATGATGTAACAAGGGATGAAGGCTTAATTCCCCACTGTCATATGCCTCTATCCAGCAAATTATACAACACTAGTTGTCTAAGGCTCCAAACTATATGAAATAAAAGAACAAAACGTATGGCTTTACTAAGCAAACTATGTGACCATGTGAGATTGATATGTATGTGTTGTAATCTTATTTTTAGCTATATATAATGATATTAGGATTTTATTTTGAGATTCTTACTTTTGAGCAACCATCATAAATAAAAACTCTTCATCGTAGTCAACTATGAATAACTAAATTATCTTAGTTGAAGAAAGTTAAAGCTTTAGGTTAAAATTTTGTGAGATATTAATGGGTTTTGATTCTTAACTTATCCTTATTGAGTATTTTATGTTTTTTTTTTTTTTGCATGATTTGGTTATAATTGTGTGATTAATTAATTAGAATGCATACTAATTACTTGATGTTCATATTCTATTGCTAATTAAGTATTTAAGTCCATATAATTGCTTGTCTAAACTTATCTCTCGATGAGTAACTAGGGATTAATGATTATAAATGCATTTTT